CATTTCACGCCTCAATGTCTTTAGATTTAAAATAATTATGTTATAACTAGGTGTACATTCCGTATCTTGGTTTAACATTTAATTTCAAAGAAGTACCTTATGTGCGTTCCACATCTTGGTGAAGACAATTTATAAAAAAATAATAATTAATTAAGCGGTAATAAATAATTCATAATCAATAAAATACAAGAATAGCTAAAAATTGATTTAAGCCTTACATTAGTCAATAAAGCGACCGTGCTAGAACCAAGGGACTCGAGGGGTGCCTTACACCTTCCCCTCGATCAACAAAATTCCTTACTTAGTCTTCTGTTTTCGTAGACCTTAAATTAGGAGTCAAACCTTCCTTTTGATAAGGGATTCAAATAAAAGGTGACTTGGAACATCAAAACTCAATTCTAAGTGGCGACTCTAAATAATAAATAATCCCTTTTCAAAACATCACTTCAATTGAAAAAACTCTTCTAACTCAACCTCGTAATAGGATTGCGTAAAAAAAAGAGGTGTGATAGGGGGAGGGAAAGAAATATTCATTAACCAGGAAACTTTGAAAAATGAGAAAGAAAATTACCTAGTGAACCTTGATTCACTTCAAACAGCAGCAACTTCGGTTCAGATCAAACAACAGTGCATATATTATTTAAATACCAATTATGTCCAGTTATAAGTAGCTTGTTACAAAAATGTACGGACGAAATTTAAAAATAGCCAGATTCATAAGTGGTCAATCACAAACAGCCACAGTTTCAAAAGTAATCGAAATTTAGCCACTTTTCATGTAAAGATAAATCTGAACAAAAACACTGCTCAAAATCCGGAAAATACTCCAGTATAATATACTGGAATTCCAGTATAATATACCGGTCCAGCATAATATGCTGGAAGTTCATACACAGGTGCACCGATCTCCAGTATATTATGCTGGAACTTTCCGTGTTACAGCAAAATAGTGGCTATTTTTCAATAACTTTGCAAATGCTGGCTATTTTTGAATGATCAATCCGAAAACTGACTAGCCCGTACTATTTTTACTACAAAAATTGATCAATTCATTAAATATTACTTACTAATATTAGCCATATGTTATCAATATTAGCCAATTAGGTCCGTTGTCCTAAAATTTCATTGCAGTTCGAATTTCAAGTCACTGCCCTGAAGCTTGAACAGTAATTGTGTAAAATTATTTTATAATTTCTACTGCTAGACAAATTTGTTGTTGCATACAAAGTTGGTGCTTTTGAGTTGCAAATGTGACTATTAGATGATCATAGACGTAGAATTTGTTGTCTGGCATCTCTTATTGCCATTTTCGATGCCACGTTATTATCATTAGTTAGTGTTGCTACATGTTTGAGTGAGTTGGAGCAATTTTTGGATAATTAAGCAAATTTTGCAAAAGTTTTGGGATAATTGTGATTGGATGAAGAGAGACTGCAAAGAAGAAGACGACATTAGGAAGTGCTAAATTCTAAACACATGATCAATTGTACCTATGTTTTAAATAACACCATTAAAACACCTGTTGTTATTACTTTCAATATAATTTTCAGCGTTTTATTTGATTTATAACACGTGGCGTTTGGATTTAAAAACAGATTTAAAGAGGAAAAGATGGTAAGTTTTTTGTTAGTATTAATAATTATGATCCTTGACTTCTTTCGCATAAAAATATTCGGACTATTTGTCCATGAAAGATTAATGAATTTTATATCTTTACTATGGCAAAATAATAGTAGTAAATAACTTTTAGATCTGTGTCTCTATAAATTCATAAAAGGTCGGTTAGCTAGGGGGAAAAAACAACGTAGTAATAGTCAGCTATTAATCAGGGAAAATATCTATTGATCAATTTTCCGGATCTAGTGGATTATTTAATATTTAGATGAAATCTTAGGGAAAAATAACTTTCACCAATTTCCTTGAATTATTACAGGGCGTTTGGATTTGAAAGCAGATTCAAAGAGGAAAAAGATGGCAAGTTATTACGTACAGTAATAATCATGATCCTTGAGACCTTGACCCCTCCTTCCCATAAATAATTGTAAATATATTCCTTAATTAGTCACTTTCCTTTTGTTTTCACTCGGATCTAATAAAAGCATTGTAGCTTTACATTGCATAAAAAAGGAAAACTTTCTATATAAATCCTCCATCTATCGTCTCCTTATATAAATGGACCAAAGATCTTCTCCAGTTGTGTTCTCGTTCTTGATTTTGAGCGTATAGTAAATTAAGAGAAAATTATCAATGGCCTGGAACTGCAGGTTGTGTGGTCGCAGTGGGCGTAACCAAAGAACGTGTAGTGAGAAAGGCAAGAGCATCAAATTATTCGGTGTGAAGATCTCAACTACTACACCTAAAAAAGATTCAGCAAATAATTATGGAAGAAAAATCAAGAAAGCAATCCCATGGACTGAAGATGAACATAGATTATTCTTGAAGGGGTTGGAAATTTATGGGAAAAGCAATTGGGCAAAGATTAGTAAAGATTTGTTGCCTAATAGAACACATATTCAAATTGCTAGCCATGCTCAAAAGTATTTTATGTTTAAGAGATTGGCTGCTGCTTCCAATGAGAGAAAAAATCGTAAGAAGCCAAGTATTTTCGACGTTCATAGTGAAGAAATAATTATTTCAGAAAGAGAGACTAGTAATGTTTCTGAACATGCAATTCAAGAACATGTACAAGAAACTGGTGGAAATATTCCAAGTCAAGTGCCATTGGAGATTATTAAAGAACATGCTCAAGATCACCAAGAAACTACTGCAATTAGCTCTGAGAGAAATCATGGTTATAATTTCTTCATTATTCCATGTTTTATGCCGGTGTTGAATTTACCTGTATTCCATAGTTTTTGCAATTAACTAAAAATCAAGGATAGCTATAGTGGAGTAATATTTTTGTATATTTGACAGTCCCACCTTTTGTACCTTTTTACATATGAAAATAGAATAAGGCTAGAACAAGTTTTCTCAGAAAAATATCGAATAATACTCGGTACTTATTTAGCCAAACTAGGAAATTTATGTGCTCTTTATAGCACTATCTTTGTTTGTACTGACTGTTAATACTTTTCTTATCTCTCTTTCGACCCAAAAGAAAAAGGAGTAAATTGCTTTTAATTTAGGGTCTTCTGACATGCAGTTAACTAAATAGTACTAACTACAACAACAACAACAATCCAGTATAATCCCACTTAGTGGGGTCTGAGGAGGGTAGTATGTACGCAGACCTTACCCCTACCCTAGGGTAGAGAGACTGTTTCCAAATAGACCCCCGGCATCCTTCCCTCCAAGAACTTCCCACCTTGCTCTTGGGGAGACTCGAACTCACAACCTCTCGGTTGGAAGTGGGGGTTGCTTACCATCAGAGCAACCCCGGTACTAAATAGTACTAAGTAACTAAAATAAATAACAGACGACAACTGGAACTCGATTATGCTAGCCCTGAAATTCTTATCAGCGCAATATATTAGTCTTGTCTCCCATAATCCTTGTTTATCGAGACTCAGAACCAAATTTGACTTCTTAATTTAGGAAGCAAATAAGACTTAATTTCATTCGTTATCTAGCAATCGGAGAATCTAAATTTACGGAAAATTTTATTTTGTGACTCATACAACTGAGGCAACATTTTTCTCACAATTTTGTGGACCCAGATTTCTGTGGACCCAGATTTCTGTGGACCCAGAAGTGTAAGATTGGTCTTCACAAATTATTAAGACAAAAAGGTGCCTCATTACAATTAGTGTAAGTTGTATGAGACACAAAATAAAACTTCTCTAAATTTACTATTGCAAAACCCACTCAAATATCATATCATATCCAAATTAAATTGAAATCCGTGGAAGGAGAACGTGGAATGAGAGTTTGAAACTCAAGTAGGAAGTAGCTAATTAGTAAATTTTTCTAAGGGACCTAAATAATATTTTTATATTTCCGAATATTAATTAAAAGTCCTTTAGTCACTAATACAAATATCTTGGATTTTAAGTTTTAATTCATGTTACTATTAACACTTAATTTTATATTTTCTCTCATCACTTGAGGGTCTTATTTTAATTATTAAGATCTAGCACTGAGAGATGGTATGTTGGGACCGCATAGCGCAGTGGATTAGCGCGTCTGACTTCGGATCAGAAGGTCGTGGGTTCGACTCCCACTGTGGTCGTTTTATTTTTGCCTTCTGGTAGGTAGCGTTGACGAATAACATTGCATTAAATCTAGCCACCACTTTGCTTTGCCAAGTATTACAGTACCTTTTAAATAAACTTGTTGAATATTAGTCTTTGAACAAAACAAAAGCTTAGACACATGTATTACCAGTTGTACATTTTGGGAAGTAACCTAAAAATAAAGAGCACCATATATATATCAACATATTACAAGGAAACCTAGGACTGTTACTTGCAAAGAAATTTAAAAATTAAAGAATGGATTACTATGTTGCACTCTTGTACTTGATAGAAAGGAAGGAAAGAATAAGCCTTAACTTTAACACGGATAAATTCCACTGGACCAATATCATTTTGTAACCGAAACTACGGGACTAGTATCTGCTTAAAAGTTAGAAGGAACAATTTCATAGTGGGAAGCCAATGAACAGTTGCAGCTGCAGTAATTATAAATATCCAACTGAAACTTGATCCAACATTGAAGAAAATACTTTCCAAATATTTCTGCCTACATGTGAAATATGATTTCTACTAAAAGACTTTAATGTCTTAGCAACAGCTAGCAATGAGTTCTTTTATGTTTCAACACACAAAAGAATGCATGCGGCAAGCATAATAAGTAGGAGTATTTAAAGTGTTCATTAAAGACAACATAATATTAGTGCCAAATATGAGGATTAAAACCAGTTCTTTTCCAAATGTGTATATTAACATCTTATCATATAGAATTACAGGTGTTAATTAAAATCAAGTACTAGTGAGACTAAAACTCCATGTTATATCAACCAATCTCAGTGCTAAGTGCTAACACGGAAAAAAGAGAAGAAAAAACAAAAGAAGGGATTGTTATAGAGCACAATGACACCACAAGAAGCTTGTTCAGCATACTAATCTAATACTCTCTTCCATTTGGAGTGATTATGAAACAAGATTTATTTATGCTAATATGATCTAAGAAAGTAATACTACTACTAGTAACTAAAAATGGGAATTTGCAGTGAAGTATCAATCTTAAGGAACTCTTTGATTTCAGTAAACAGTAATCATCGATGACACTTGGTTAAAAAAACCCAATCCTCGTCAGTTTTGCACCCTCCACTTTCATCTTTCTCCTTCTCTTTCTGTAACACATGAGCCTAAAATATTTCTCTGCTTCTTAAACCTGATAGGAAAGTGTTTGTCATGTGAAAGCTCAATCATAATAATATCCCCTGATTTCAACTCATGTTCAGCAACAATTTCCTTCCATTTTCCACGGAAAAAATACTGTGAACCATCCTTAACCCATTTGATCTCCCAAAATCTGCCTCCAGGATCAACAAATTGTAACTTTACGTCCCTCCTTGTATGTCCATTACTTATGGTCTTAGGGAAATAGCGTGCAAATTTCGCTGGAATCAGCAACTTCCCTTGAACATCATTCTCTGTTAATTCTTTTTCAAACACACTATAAACTCGCCCTTCTTCCTTGGCTGGTTTGCCTCTGCAAATACAACAATGATTGAGTTCCTACGTATCATTATGTTTTTCAAGTTCTTGATACTCCTAAGATAACAAAAGGAAGCAAAGATTCCATATCTCTGTTTGTATACAATTAAATATGGATTCATATACTCAATTGATTAATTATTGAATAAATCAACACCCACAATATCAGTTATTAAAAGAGAGAGAGAGAGAGAGAGTAATTTCTTGTGTTTACCGATTGAGAATACACATCATCATCTGTTTAAATGAATTCTTGATTCCACTCCCCTTACTTGATTTTGAGTGATTTGCAGCATCAGTGACAGACTCTTTATTTTCAATCATGAGATTATCTCCGATCATCACTTTTTCACGACCTTGTACATTGAAAGAATTCCTGTACATCAACATATTGTGATCTCCATTATAATATGGATTTATATTCTTCCGCCTTTTCACGTTCTTGTGGCCTAGAATTAATACAAATGAATCTGCTTCGTCTGTTGGAGTCATCAGATTCTGCGTTCTTGAACCAGTATATGACGTTGGTTTTGCTTCTGCTTTTTCTTGAACATCTACATTGCTCTTCTTCCTCATCTTCCTTTCCAAATGATGAAAGCAGGCGATTCTTGATTTTGACGGAGAGAGAGAGAACGAATTGAGAGAAGAAATAGCGTTCACTGAGAGAGGAGCCACTAATCCTCTTTTTATAACCAAATCTATCCCTAACTTTTTAAGTCGGTTGGTTAGTTAGTTCTAACGTCTCCAAATTATTTTTTTGGCAATTCATAGCAATTTTCCAGAAAAAAGAAATGAAAAGGTTTTGGGAAAACAAAATTGTCTTCCAGGAGTGAAGCTATAGACATTTATTTATTGGATAAAATACATATAAAATGTGAGCTTAAGTTCTAAATTAGAGAAATGTTGATCCTCAAAGTAAGACTAATTACTTGAAGTTGTAAACAAGCATATTTATGATTCATCAATTTAAAAAGATAACTCAACATATAAAGTTGAAATAGTTTTTTACACGGTCGAAACCGGGTTCGTCCATTGTATGAGCAGCCGAGGATGAAACGTGACAGGTCAGAGCTCAAGCCCGGGTTATATTGAACCAAGGCGCAAAGTTAAATCGTTGAGCTCGTGACTCCAGGACCGAGCAAGATCGAGGGAACTTTGTCGAGCCAAATAACGGAAGGCCGAAATATTCGAGATCGGTTGCAGATCACGACGGAATTCTCGACACGTATCAAGGGGAAGCCGATTAATTATCAAATTATGAGATTGGATACCTTTTATAGAATCGTATCAAGAGTAGGGCTCCCCTAATATATAAAGGGAGGTTTGATCATTTGTAAAACACATTGTAATACGCAGCAAAAAGCAATACACTGTTATTTCTAGCTCTTATCATCTTGTTATTCTGTTCTTACATTAGTTGAGGCATTTCTTGATTTGAGGGTGATCAAACTCAAAGGCCAAGGCTGTTCAATTTGTATGGTTTGCATTTATTTTCCTATCATTAATATCAATATTAATGTGTTTTCTTAATTTATATAAAGTTATATCACGTATCCTTAAAACCACGTATAATTTCAATTGTTATCCGATTTTGAGGGTAAAAAGTTTGGTGCCCACCATGGGGCTAAAGATAGTAGTGATTATCTGGTACAAACTTTCATACCACACACTATTTTCCACTTGTTCTTTGGAGTATCTTTGATTCCAGGACCAAAATGTCGAACTCTCAGTCAGCATCCCTACGCATTGACAATGATTTCGGCCACCATGGCGAAGATGATAACATAGCACTAGGGAACGACATACCCCCGGTTTGCCTCGATGGAGTTTCGGCTATGGATCCAATCGACGTCAGATCATATATAGCCATCAACGCAAATTTGGACGTAGATCCCGAGGGTAGCGTTCGTGGGGATGTTCGATCAGCCGCTCAAAGCACACATGGCAGCGAAAATGGTAGAATCAGCCTGTGGGTGATCTTCGAAATGTTGCAGGCTCAGGCAGCGATAGCTCATCACGAAAACCAAAATCACCCACCAAGTAGGATCGAGCCCGAGCCGTCCCAAGAAGTTGTCCACAGGGTCGAATCGGTTTCAAGAAAATCGAACGAGAAAGAATCGAAGACCAATCCTTCAATCATGAAGATGCTAGAGAATTGACAAAAAGAATTGAGTCGGGGCAAAAAAAAGATCGAGGCGAACGATAAGAAGGTGGAAACTTACAACTCCACGGTCAATCAAATCCCGGGGGCATCGCTGATATTGAAGGGTCTAGACTCCAAAAAGTTCATGCAAAAACCTTTCCCCCAGAGCGTGGCTCCCAAGCCGATCCCCGAGAAGTTTTGCATGCCCGAAATTCCTTAATACAATGGAATGACCGATCCGAACTAGCATGTCACCTCTTACACATGTGCTATCAAAGGGAATGTTCTAGAGGATGACTAGTTCGAATTTGTCTTGCTAAAGAAATTCGGAGAGACCTTATCAAAGGTAGATATGATATGGTACCACAATTTACCACCTAAATCTATTGACTTATTTGCTATGCTTGCAGATTCTTTCGTAAAGGCACACACCCGGGCCATCAATGTTGAAACTAGGAAGTCGGACCTTTTCAAGGTAAGGCAGAAGGACAACGAAATGCTCAGAGAATTCGTGTTTGATGTTTTATACTTCAATACCACACAAGAAGGGGGTAATTTGTGTGGTGCCCAATTTTTCGCTTAACCTGATTATAGAAGGACCTGGTTCTTCTATGTGTTCCAACTACTGTTGCAGAATAATAAGTACAGAAATTAAAGAACACCGAGATTTTATGTGAAAAACACATGGCTCAAAAGGTGAAAAAACCACGACCTACTTTCCAGTAGGATTTTCCCAAACTCTCCACTAAAATCACTGAGCCAAAAACTGTATTTAGAAAAACTCTTTTGTAAACCTAGGATTAACTCTGATCCCATTGTAGCACACAAGCTCAACTGTTGCGACAACTTCAAGTTAACTCTAACTTGAAAACTCTGAGTACCTAATACAATTGCTTCTAGATAAGCTGAAAGGTACAATATGAAATCACCTACTACAATTGAACTGGAAAAAAAAGACAGACACTTGGAACTGGTTCTTCTATCTGGTTCAAGTAGCTTTAGGTTTGCACGCTTGAATCACACACAAATTGCTTGCAAAATTGCCTTGCTATTTTGCTCTCAATTCACGTTTAACTTCTGCTTATGTGCGTTACCTGTAAAAGAGAACAACACTGATATTTATGGAGTTAGTAAATAGAGATTGACTAGAATTCTAATGCTACTCTTCCTTGGTGGAAGATTTCTAGTTGATCTCAACCTCTAACTCTATCCTTTTCTTAAACCATGTTCTATTTGAGTAAAGAGTCTTTCTCCTTATCCAATATACAACCTTTTCGATCAAGATTAAGAGATATCATATCACTGCTGGTAAGTTAGGTTTATCTCCTTCACGTGCATCTCACATGCTTGAGTTGACCATATCTGTGCTTTATTAGGATGGACCTGGTCCATGTCTACGTTCCTTTGTCAATCTTCAAAACTCTCCTTTAATTGGGCCAACAAATTCCCCCTTGATGATGACAAACTCTGTGCTTTTCACTCTCTTAGGCCCTGTCAAAACTCAACTTATTCATCAATGCAAAGTTAGAAATTTTTCAGTTATCATCAAGGACCAGGTTCATTAGGTTATAAACATCACTTATTTAGAATATAAAGCACAATATCTCTTCCCCTTTTGGCATCATCGAAAAGTTGCATAAACACAGTGTGCTTCCCATAATTTTAAGAATTACTCATGGGCACTTGGGAAACTACAAGTGCAATCATAGATTAATCATCAGTAATCAGCCAAACATATTCACACTATCAAGGAAATATAAACAGTCAACAAGAGCAAAAACAACAAACTTTATTGATAGAGAATATGATTCTTCCACAATCCACAAAATGAAACAAAAATAGTCAAAACATGAGCAAAGCAAGAAAAATCCCTAATCTGGGTCACTGGAAGGTCTCGACAAGGTTTAGGAGATGAAGGCTAAAGAACTTAAGGCTTGGAAGAACTAGAGGGTTGGGTGTTGGCTTGGAGAAGGTGCAACATGTCTTGAAGAATGACATCATTCTTCACCTTTTCCTTTGTGAGCTCAGTTCTGAGAACATCTCTCTCAGATTCAACCTCTGCTAAACGAGCCTTCAGCCTAGTAATCTCAGCATCTTTTGCCCCGCTCTCCTGCACTAGAGCTATGACCTTGCTATTGATAGGTATCTTTTTAGATTAACTAGGTTCATTGGGAATGGCATTGACCTCATAGTCATAAGCAATCAAAGTGTTGATTCCAAAATGGTCTTTGCTTGTTACCATCTCCCACTTCTTCAGTGGCACCTTGCCACGATCAAAAACAGTAGTCAGAATAAACCCATAAGGAGTGGCATGGGCCTTGGAGCTATTGATAACCCTGTCCAACAGCTTGATAATAAATGCAGGCTAGCTGATCTGCCTTCCACTTTCAAGACACTCCATCAAAACCAAATCCATGTAGTTAGTAATGTGTCTTCTTTCATGCCTAGGCAGCAAACACTTGTTGACAAATTCAAACAAGACTTTGTGGCATGGCTTCATTTCACTCTTATGCACAATCTTGGCCTCATTCACTTCTGTGACATCACATAATTTCCTAGTGATTGCAAGGGCAGTAGGAAGGGAGTCCATACTTGGCCTTCTTTGCCTCGTGTAATCATCATACCTTTCAGAAGGGATATCAAGGATGTCACCCAACTCTTTTGCATCAAACGTTACTTGAACCCCTTTCACTTGACTGGTAGCTCTGTCATCCTTGACCTCTGCATTGGCCATGAACTCAATAACCTCATTTCTTGCTAGCCTGCCATCCAACTGAAGGACCATGTCCTTCCAGCCCTGAGCTGCTAGAGCATCAACCAATCGAACCATCCCTGGTTCCACCAAATCCTTCAAAAGTCTGCCCTTCAAGATTTTTCTTTTGCCAAACTTGGCCAGCTTATCTTGTTCATAGTTAGATTCACCTTCTTCTTCATCACTCCAATCATCTTCTTCAGTAATCTTAACTTGCTTGGCTTTCACAGTAGACCTTGTTCTTTTAGCCAAAGAAGAAGGTTCAGCAGCCTTGGAAACAGATGAAGAAGAAGTCTTGGTTTTCTTTGGCTTAGGGGTCTGAACCTCCACATCCACAGTCACATGTTCATCTTTGTTAGTTTATATGAGTCCACCAAACTATAGAGTACCTGGTCCTCTACGAGTTTCCACTAAGAGTACAAATGGCACAGTAAATAAATGAGACACATGATTTTTACGTGGAAAAATCCCACTCAAGGGGATAAAAACCACGACCCACACTTGTAGGATTTCAACTTCACTAACTTGTAAACACTCGATTACAAGACACTTTGTAATGACTCTATTACAATACTTCACTCACTCTAACTTGTGATACACTATCACAAGCCACTTTGTCACTCACTAGTTACAAAGGCTTCAAACACTCTAACTTGTAATACCCTAATCACAAGCCATTTTGTCACTCACTAGTTACAAAGGATTTAACTTATGACTAACTCTAGTCACAACACAAACTCAAAAAG